ATGTGCAATCAACCCTCTCTGTGCAGTAAAGAGACTGCAACCAACAGAGGCCACTGCCCAAGGCGCTAGGCTCTGTAGCTCAGGGGGCTGCTCCACACGACTGTTTTCAGCAGGCCAGCACAAGCCCTGGTACTGCAAGGCTGTTAACCTGCCCTGGGAGACTCGCCCCCTGCAGCAGTGTAGACCAGGGTGGCCGCTGAGGCATTCCCAGAATACTGGAGATCCCAGTATTTCCAGGATTGGTGTGGGTCTGTCCCCGCTGGCGTGACCTCGCACACTCGGTGTGTGTGAGTTCACACCAGCAGGGGCGGAGCAGTGCGCTTTTCCAAATGGCGCCCCACATCCAATACCAGACACAAGCATGCACTGTACGGGGGCAAAGCACCCATGAAGGGGACTGTCCAGTTTCTAACCGGATGAATATCCTGCCTGGTGTAGACAAACCTAACGTGTCCAGTGCACCAGGGCCCTGTTAACTGCCCCCCTCCTCCACCCCCAGCTCTCACCTTCCGGGTACTGGGAACGAAGTCTTTGTCAAAACTGAAGATTCGAAACTTCACTGGAAAGGAGCAGAGGCAGAGGCGGGAATCATCCCCGGCTTGGTTTGTCTTTGTGAATTCCCAGCTGGGGAAGGTGCCAGCCAGATGTCCCAGGCACTGACAGCCTCTGTGAACCCGCAGAATGGGCCCAGCCAGTGCAGCGCAGCACCAGCTTCCCCCCGCTGCCCTCTGCCAATGAGCCACGGCCCTGCTCTGCATGGCTGGAGGCTGCCCGGGGAGGCCGATTGGTGCTCCCTGCAGTGTCTGTGCCATCGTCAAGGACGGGCTGAGACCCCCACATGGTTCCATACAGGCCCCCAAACAAGCCTCAGGCTTTGGGCCTCTTCTCCCCTGGGGCTGGGTGCAGACAGAGGCCTACAAGTGACAGTCCCGAATCCCTCACTAGGCCCCCAGCCCGACCCCAGAGCCCGGGAGTCCGTCCCAACGGCCTGGGGCCACAGGAAACTCCCTCCATCAGCTACTGCCCTCTCACCTGTCTGTCCTGGCTTGTAGACGGCCTTGTCCGTCTGCACAAAGGTCCTGGGCTGCAGCGCCCGCAGCAGCACTTTCTTCCACTCAGAGAACTGCAGGGCATCTCCCCGGATCGAGACGTGCAGCTCTGCCACTTCCTGCTGCCCCCCAGACGGGGCTGGAACCTGCACACGGAGACCCCCAGCAAGGCCACAGCAGCCGGTAACCGGCCGATCGTGGTGCAGACCCGCTATCACGTGGGGGGGGGGGGCAGTGGTGTTTGTGAGTCCCTGTTCCCGCCCCCCAAAGACAGGAACTCCCCTCCCCAGCCTGGGGGCCCTGAATGGGAGGAAGCATGAACCTGGGGCGCTCGATGGAGTTGGAAGCCAGGGTGCTCTCTGTACCCCCCACCCTATCCCCACTCCCTCCTGCCTGTCGCTGCTGAGGGATGGGCTCGAGTTCTGTGGCTACAGCTGCCCATTGAGTGACCAGCTCCGTGCCCATGGCCAGTCCCCTGAGCCCTGCTGTGCCCAGGGCCTGAGGCTGGGCTGGGGCTGCAGACATGGGGCTGACGGGCTCCGTGCCCATGGCCAGTGCCCGGGGACGTGTTGATGGCTGTGGGCGGGGGCTCACCTGGAAGCGCACGTTCTCGTGCAGACGGGGCTCCTGGACCTCTCTCTCCAGCAGGGTGATAGCGCTGGGCCCATCCCCCCCTCCAGCCGGACGCTCACCCGGACGGTCTCGTTGAGGTCGCTGAGATGAACTGACACCGTCCCCATGTGCGGGTGGTAGAGTACGGCTGGGCTCACCACCACATAGTGCCTGGGGAGGGGACAGCACCGTGGGCAGTGGGGAAAGGGGAGGGGAGGGAACAGCCCAGGGCCTCCCCCAGGATAGGGGGGTGACTCCCGATTTCTGAGTGTCCCTCCTGCTGGGACTGAGCTCAGTCGACGGCTCTGGAGGCTGATTCGTTTCTCTAACCACAGGGCAGGGGCAGGGCAAGGCTAGGGTTACCATACGTTTGGATTTTCCCGGACATGTCCGGCTTTTTGGGCCTCAAATCCCCGTTGGGGGGAAATCCCCAAAAGCCGAACATGTCCGGGAAAATAGGGACATGCGGGGCCGGGGGTGCTGGGCCGGGGGCCAGGGCCGGGCTGGGGCCGGTGGTGCTGGGCCGGGGCGGAGCCAGGCTGGAGACGCCAGGGCCGGGGCCGGAGGGAGCCGCTCGGTTGGGGGGGCCAGACTGGGCCGCGCCTCCTCCTCCCTCCCCAGCTTACCTGCTGCCTCTTCAGGCTTCCTGCGAATCAAATGTTTGCGGGAAGCAGGGGAGGGGGCAGAGTTGGGGCGGGGACTTTGGGGAAGGGGTGGAGTTGGGGCGGGGGTGTGGGCGGGGCTGGGGGCAGGGCCGGGGCCCCGTGGAGTGTCCTCTTTTTGGACACTCAAAATATGGTAACCCTAGGCAAGGCCCCCCGCTCCATCCCCCGCCCCAGCCTGCCTCCCGCGGAGCTGGAAGTGCCCCCGGGGGCGCAGAGAGGGGCTCAGTCCCCCTCCATCCCCGGCCTCTCGGCTGCTCGGTCTGCCCAGAAGGGGGCAGCTAGTGGCGCTGAGAGTGAGCAGAGACCCTTGTGCACGGCACGGGGGGTGGGGCTGGCTAGTCTGGGGCTGTACTGAGCACCTGAACCCTTTGCAGCCAGTAACTGGCTTAGATACAACCCCACCCCCACCCCCACCCAGTTTGCACCCCGGGGCCTCCGCCCACTCTTGCAGGAACCCTTTGGTGTTTGCACGTTCGGGGCACTCCCAGGTTCTCGCTGAGACGTTCGTTTAACGCACTGGGTTTGTTGGTAATTCCTGTTCTATTTCACTGGTGCCTAGAGGCCCAGCCCAGCCTGGTCCCCCTGCGCTGGGGCTGGACAGACCCGCAGGCAGAGACAGGCCGTGGCCCGAGGAGGTGACAGGCTGACGGGAGCAGGCGGTCGCAGCAGATCATCACCCCACTGCCTTAACCACAACCAAACTCTCCCGCCGCTGGGAGGGGCAGGACCAGGAGGGCCCAGGAGGGGCCCAGCGTCAGGGACTGAGCTCCCAAGGGAGAACGGACCTCTCCCATCAGTTTTGGATCGAGCAGCCCCCTCATCGGTGCCCTCGGCTGCTTCCAACCCCCACCCCACACTGCCCACCACGCGGACAGACAGACAGACACGGACAGGGCTTACGGCTCTGCAGATGTCCCAGCTGTGAGGTGCAGGAGGAGCAGCAGGCAGGCCGGGGTTACTGGGGCCCCCATTCCTGGGGTGCAGGCAGACAGGCAGGCACAACGGGACACACACACGTCACCCCCCCCGGGTCCTTCTTCCTCCCTCTCCCCCACGCTCTGTGCTGGAGACCAGCCTGCTCTGCCCTGATACAGACTCCGGAGCTGGAGCTTCGCCTTTGATCCGGGGTAAACAAGGGACGTGTCAGGTCTCTGGCTGGGGCTGGGGACGCAGCCAGGACAATATTTACCCACCACTCCCAGCTGCTGGATTCGAGGCTCTGACAGGTTGTTGCAGCTTGAGTCAGAGGATGCTGTCTGGCAAAGGCTCAGATGAGCCAGGAGGCCCCTCGCATTGGTTACACGGCAGGGGGTGGGACCCCTCTGGGGTCGGTGGTGGTGCAGTAGCCGGGATGCTGGGGAAGCCCTGGCAGGAGCAGGGGGGAGGAGCTTGCTGAGAAATGAGTTTGTAACCCCTCTGCCAGGTGGGGCCGGCAGGAACCAGGGCCGGGTTCAATATCTAGAGGTTCCTTTTCAACAAAACAACGCAGAACCGGCTCGAGCCCCCACCCAGTAACCTGGGGAAATTACACCCCACCCCTGGGTGCCTGTGGGAGGTAATACTGCCCCACTCGCAAGCACAGAGTCTGAGTGTAGAAAAGGAAACGTTTAATATCAGGAGGGAAGTCACCTGACAGTAATTACTGAAAAAGCAGGATTCATAAACATAAAACTGTGAGCAGGACGCCCAGCCCAGAGTGCCTGGGGCCGAGTCTTCTGCCTTCTGTCTCATGTTCCTGAGTTCTACAGCCACAGCTCCTGTTCTGTGCCCCTCTCTGCTCCCTCACCCCACCCCACTCACAGTGGTTGTCTGGGTCAGTGAGGACCCAGGGTTCAGAGGTGCAGCTGTGTGAGTTCACCTCCCACCCCGGGAAGAAGGCACCTTGCTTGCTCTGCCATCTGAGCACTTGTGCTGGCTGGTCACCTCGCCAGCTGCTGGTTCTGCTCTCCGGCCGCCCATTCACCAGCCCACTGCTCGCCGGCTAACTGTCAGTCACCTCCCTGTCTGCTGTAACCTCTTCAGGTCAGTCTCTAGTGAG